TTGTGAAAAATTTGTTCACAAAAAACAAGGGTAGAATTGTTCTGCAAGCATATCTACACCTACAGTACACTAGTAGTTGCATGTCAATGTGAAAATGAATAAAGACTTATTCTAAAATGGATTAAATAAATAAAAAATCATCATCAATCTACACACAATAGCCCATAATGACAAAGCGAAAACATGTTTTTAGAAATTAACACATTTATAAAAAATAAAAAACATACCTTGTTTACATAAGTATTCAGACCCTTTGCTATGAGACTCGAAATTGAGCTCAGGTGCATCCTGTTTCCATTGATCATCCTTGATGTTTCTACAACTTGATTGGAGTCCACCTGTGGTAAATTCAATTGATTGGACATGATTTGGAAAGGCACACACCTGTTTATATAAGGTCCCACAGTTGACCGTGCATGTCAGAGCAAAAACCAAGCCATGAGATCAAAGGAATTGTCTGTAGAGCTCCGAGACGCAATTGTGTCGAGGCATAGGTCTGGGGAAGGGTACCAAAACATTTCTGCAGCATTGAAGGTCCCCAAGAAAACAGTGGCCTACATCATTCTTAAATGCAATAAGTTTGGAACCACTAAAACTCTTCCTAGAGCTGGCCGCCCGGCCAAACTGAGCAATCGGGGGAGAAGGGCCTTGGTCAGGGAGGTGACCAAGAACCCGATGGTCATTCTGACAGAGCTCCAGAGTTCCTCTGTGGAGATGGGAGAACCTTCCAGAAGGACAACCATCTCTGCAGCACTTCACCAATCAGGCCTTTATGGTAGAGTGGCCAGACGGAAGCCACTCCTCAGTAAAAGGCACATGACAGTCCACTTGGAGTTTGCCAAAAGGCACCTAAGGACTCTCAGACCATGAGAAACAAGATTCTCTGGTCTGATGAAACCAAGATTGAACTCTTTGGCCTGATTGCCAAGCGTCACGTCTGGAGGAAACCTGGCACCATCCCTACAGTGAAGCATGGTGGTGGCAGCATCATGCTGTGGGGATTTTCTTTAGCGGCAGGGACTGGGAGACTAGTCAGGATCAAGGGAAAGATGAACGGAGCAAAGTACAGAGAGATCCTTGATGAAAACCGTCTCCAGAGTGCTCAGGACCTCAGATTGGGGTGAAGGTTCACCTTCCAACTGGACAACGACCCTAAGCACACACCCTAGACAACGCAGGAATGGCTTCAGGACAAGTCTCTGAATATCCTTGAGTGGCCCAGCCAGAGCCCGGACTTCAACCTGATCTAACATTTCTGGAGAGACCTGAAAATAGCTGTGCAGCGACGCTCCCCATCCAACCTGACAGCGCTTGCGAGGATCTGCAGAGAAGAATGGGAGAAACTCCCAAGCTTGTAGCGTCATACCCAAGAATACTCAAGGCTGGGGGATTGGAAGTGATGCAGACAATTACATTGATGGAAGTTACAATTTATCTGCAATATTAAAGCTGATCTACCCCCTAAAAATAAATACTCAAGGCTGTAATCGCTGCCAAAGGTGCTTCAGCAAAGTACTGAGTAAAGGGTCTGAATACTTATGTAAATGTGATATTTCCTTTTTTTGTTTCGTAATTTTGGGGTATTGTGTAGATTGATGGATTTATTTTATCCATTTTAGAATAAGGCTGTAATGTAACAAAGTGGAAAAAGTCAAGGGGTCTGAATACTTTCCAAATGCACTGTATATACTGTGTGTGTTCATGCGTGTGTGTATTAGATTTCTTTACTCAAACCATCCGCGGGCTGGATTGGACGCGGGCCGTATGTTTGACACTCCTGATGTAGGCAGACACTCATATCCCGTTGTTTCTCAGGGGTGTAAGAGCTCCACACACTTGCTGAACATTCAGGGAGCTAGCGCTAGCCCGACTGGGGCAGCAAGGTATTCGTGGCTGCGCCTAGACAAGAAACCTTAGAAACTTCATATGTACTGGCAGAATGCAAATAGTCTGGGTAGCCATTTGATTAGATGTTCAGGAGTCTTATGGCTTGGGGGTAGAAGCTGTTAAGAAGCCTTTTGGACCTAGACCGGGCGCTCCGGTACCGCTTGCCGTGCGGTAGCAGAAAGAACAGTCTATGACTAGGGTGTACAAGACCTAGGGCTGGACTGTGTGTGCACGCCAGTTCTCTTCTCTTCCAACAAGTAGCCCACAGGTTGGTTGACTCGCTCACCAGTGGTGCCAGAGATATGGGGACGGTGCTAGGTGTCGACTGACAGTTTGTCTTCCTGCCTCGGCTACTTGAGAAAGAGCTGTGGCACAGAGGGCACTCAGGGATAGAGTGAGCTCCCTCAGTCTTTCTTGAGAGCGAATGCATAGCAACGAGTCGCTTTATGAAGTGAAGGGTTCTAGGAGCATAGATGTGCATAGTGGTGGGGGGGGGGGGGGGGGGGGGGGGGGCACTGTTACCTTTCTTACGTCCCTAATTCATGGAAAAAGGCCTGCTAGCCAGTAGCGGCTGCTGCGAATTAGCCTTGACAGGCGTGAGCTTGCCGCTAATGTCTAGCTGGAGTGGGCACAGTGTATAAATGCTATAGCCGGGGTGGGCTAGTGTAGGCGTTAGCTAGCTTGCAACCAGCACATGGGCTAAGGTTGTTATAGATAGCAGTGCTTATGCTACCTACATTATGTGCAGGTAGGGAACTCTTTCTGAGTTAGTTAGCAATGCTTATGTGGTTAGCTTTCTTTCCAGCGAGCTAGCCAAGTTAGCTTGTGTCTTGCAGCGTGGGCTAACCAAGTCTCAGTAGCTTTCACTGTGACGCTAGCTACCACAGGAGACCAAGCATGTAGCAATCCTAGTGTGGTTAGCTTGCTTTCCAGCAAGCTAGCCAAGTTAGCTTGTGCCTTGCGGCGTGGGCTAATCAAGTTTCAGTAGCTAGCTAACACGAGACAAAGCAAAAAAAACAAAACATTTTCGGTAAGTTACTCAACACAAAAGATGAGAGCTGAAATTCCTGCGCTCTGCAAAATAACCTCGCAGCACCTGCGAAACAGGAAAACAGGGACCAAGTCATGCTGAGGAGAGCTTAGAGAAGTACTCTTGTGAGAATTACCAGAGGGCAGGTGAGTGGCTCCTTATAATAATGGGATGGGCTCACCTCATTCACAATTCGACTGACTGACGTTTGTAATTGGTTCTTCGAGCTTCTGAGATTCAGGTGAATCGCACATGAGATATCAAAAATTATAATTGAAAGAGAACTAGAGAGGACTCTCCATCACTCTTTCTTTCTTTCTTTCTTTCTTTCTTTCTTTCTTTCTTTCTTTCTTTCTTTCTTTCTTTCTTTCTTGTGGCACTTGTATGTTAGGCCTATGTATAGTCTTGTGAAGAGCATAGTAAGGTCACCCAATACTGCTTTGGAATACTAGAATGTGGCTCATTCTCATTCACAAATCAAAATATATTTCATATTTGAGACTCTTCAAATAGCCACCCTTTGCCTTGATGACAGCTTTGCACATGCTTGGCATTTTCTCAACCAGTTTCACCTGGAATGCTTTTCCAACAGTCTTGAAGAAGTTCCCACATATGCTTAGCACTTGTTGGCTGCTTTTCCTTCACTCTGCGGTCCGACTCATCCCAAACCATCTCAATTGGGTTGAGGTTGGGGGATTGTGGAGGCCAGGTCATCTGATGCAGCGCTCCATCACTCCTCCTTGGTAAAATAGCCCTTACACAGCCTTGAGGTGTGTTGGGTCATTGTCCTGTTGAAAAACAAATGATAGTCCCACTAAGCTCAAACCAGATGGGATGGCGTATCGCTGCAGAATGCTGTGGTGGCCATGCTGGTTAAGTGTGCCTTGAATTCTAAATAAATCACAGACCGTGTCACCAGCAAAGCACCCCTACACCATAACACCACCTCCTCCATGCTTTACGGTGGGTAATACACATGCAGAGAGACTCCAGACCAAAGGACACATTTCCACCGTTCTAATGTCCATAGCTCGTGTTTCTTGACCCAAGCAAGTCTCTTCTTCTTATTGGTGTCCTTTAGTAGCAATTTGACCATGAAGGCCTGATTCACTGTTTGAGTATCAACAATCATTAAATAACTTAAAGGTTATTGTTGTTTATTTGGGTAACTTTTTCTAACAGTCTCTGGAGTCACACCACATGTTTTGTCTCTAAACCCAGCATGATGTCCTCTTCTGTGGGCCTCAGTGGACTGGGGTTTTTATTCAAAGCATACAATAAAGGTTTTCATTTCAGTGTTGCCTGTGTTTTTCCTCCTTATGGTTTGGTGTGTGTGAGAGAGAGATTACCAGGTGTGTATTCATTACGGAAACCGTTTACCGTTTAAGAACCAAATGAAACGGGAAGGGACCTACCTGGATTTGTCCAATAGAAACTCGTTTGCGATATCCGTTTGGAGTGAACTGTTTCGTTTTGCAACAATCTGCATAATGATTACACCCTTGCTGAGCACTATTGCTTGTCTTTCTCAAATAGACAAGTGGTAATTTCTCTCCCTGTGCAGTGTATATAACCAACATTTGATCTAGCTGAGACAGTCAGCCTAATCAGATAGGGTCATATGGTTTAAACTTGCTATGGGGTTGTCAGAGGTTTTAAATTAACTATAGTGTGGTGATTGGGCGGCGCACAATTGGCCCAGCGTCGTCCAGGGTAGGGGAGGGAATGGCCGGTAGGGATGTAGCTCAGTTGGTAGAGCATGGCGTTTGCAACGCCAGGGTTGTGGGTTTGATTCCCACGGGGGGCCAGTATGAAAAATAAAAAAATAATGTATGCACTCACTAACTGTAAGTCACTCTGGATAAGAGCGTCTGCTAAATGACTAAAATGTAAATGTGAATGTTGTTTCATCAGAGAGGGTGGTGGGAGGAGGAGACTGGTTGGGTGGCATAGGAGGAGTGGCAATATCTGGGGTCTGCGATTGGTGCTTTGGAGTTGTCACATGAATTGTCCTTTCATCCTCTACACACCGAAAACGCTTGAGTAGCGTTTTGACGGGACCATTGTCAATTCAACCACCACCATGGGACTAACAAGTGATCCACATTTCCAGAAACTTGAACAATGGTACAAATCCAAAGCTGGGAACCTCAATATGAGGGATATGTTTGATGGTGACAAGGATAGATTCCGCAAATTTAGGTAAGTGAGCTTTCGATTGTTATGGCCAATATAGCTACTGAACAGAAGTTTGGCACGATATCTTCGTGATTGTATCAATACGGGTCATAATTTGATAATGAGCTACGTCAATAGAGGCAATGAATGGGAGTGGGATGCATTTTTTTTGCACACCTTTGGTACCAATCCAATGTGATTGCATAACTATACCCTAGGAAGGTTAAGCAAGAATGGTCATTTAGATTTTAGCTATCTGTGCAGTATCTAAGGCTAACTATACGCAAGCTCTTCAGACTTGTATGAGTGTACAAGGTCAACGTTTATTATCGATTGCTTTTCCAGTCTTAACATGCTGTGTGAAATGTGCGACGTGTCACGTTCCATTTCGAAATCGGTCGATCTATTCATTATTCATTCGCTGTATACCCAGTTACGTAATTGTAGCTACCTATTGTCATCAAACTGTCAAATCGCTTAGCTTAACTAGGAGGGCCCTATTACTCTATTTAGCTGGGTTAGCTTGCTAGCTAGCTACTGCTGTATGCTCGCTTCCCTTCATTCAGCAGCTAACGTTTGCTTGACAGCTGGGTCATTCCTACAATGCGGTGCCTTTCCTTTCCCGGGAAATATAATTTATTTAGTCTAAAATGTGTATACAAAAAGGCTTTAAATGCAAAGTTTGAGTTTATTTAATTTGTACAGGGACAGTGCACATTAATCAACGTTTTCAGTAAAGGACCGGTTTTAGCCAGCCAGCTAATTTTCAACCGCAGTCCCCTGGGCAGGTTATTAAAAACAATTACAATAACAATACAGACAAACAATGAGCAGTGAGCACATGCAGAGCAACATATGACAAGCAACACGCAGACAGAGCAATAGCACAAAAAGCAACAAAACACATAAAGGCAACAAAGTGTTTACACACCTCACAAGCTACATTTATGAGAATAATACATGCATTTGCTTACCTTATCAATCTTGAAGACGATACACTAATTTGTCCCTCAAAAAAAGTGTTATGAGTGAGTGCACAACAAACATATTTCCAGGGTGTTGATGCATTCTCCTCCCAATACAGCCTCTTCCAACACAACGGGTAGGGGAAGAGGCTAACATGCTACTGAACCGTGACACTAGCATATTGACATGCATATTGGTATTAAAAGACAGCAACGTATTCTCCTACAAATATAAGTGTTTGGGCATATCATTAGTTAGCTAGCTACCTATGACATGAATTGTGCAAAAATATGATAGCTGGCTAAGCGCTAGCCAGTCAGTGGCGCTGACAGATTGAAACTGGTATCAACAAAATGTGTTTCACTCTATCCCATAAAACATGACATTGCTAAATAGGCATCATTTAGCTAATAAAATGATAATGTTTATTAGGAAGTTTGGTAGGTAGCTAGCTAGATTGCTTGGTTTCCATTTTCCAACAGATTTTTCTAATTCCTCCTGATTGGTCATCAATGGTTACTGGCCTTGGAACTCATGTGTTCACCAGAATATGCTTCTGGTCAACTGTTTGCCACTAGTGGCAATACATGTTGCAGCCACAGGTTTGCCACAGATTCAAATAGAATCTTGAGAGAATTGTCTGCCGGAAATAAACCTCTGGCAAACTGTTTGCCACTAGTGGCAATAAATATTATTGTTGCCAAAGTTTTGCTGCAGATTCACCACTAGTGGCAAACATTTGCAAATTTCTGGCAACATTTTGTGGCACACTATTTAGTTTGCAGCAAATTTGCCACAAACTTGCGGGACGTTTGCCGCAACAAATTCATTTTTGTAAGGGATATACTTTTCCCCAAAAAGTTATAAGGTCCAAAATGCACTAGATTGTACAGCTATGTGCAGTTTGGCACAGCCTACCGGTAGGCATTTGAAGTCTAGCCAACGGGCTCGAGGGACCTAAACCCAGGCCAGTCTAGACTTTAGGTACTTCTGAGATTATTGAAACAATGTAACCATCATGATTGCTGTCACGTTCTAAAGCAGTCTGCAGTAGCACACTGTGAAGCAACCACTATGCCCCTACAATAAAAATCTGCAGGCTGCAGCATCTTCCATAATAATACATTGTGTCCCATATCTCTACAAACTTGGATACACTGTAGCACAGTAATCCAGAATTTTGTTACAGTTTAGAATTAGATGTTTTGACACAGTAAATTCCAACAATTTACTCTTATCACTCACTGTACATTGGAATTATCAGGAATTTGTTAGAAACCCTATTTGATCATTCTAGATTCTTCTAAATGTTTTCTGTTATATCTCTCCTTGGTAGCACAACCCTTGAGACAGATGATGGAGACATCCTGCTTGATTACTCCAAGAATCTTGTCAATGAGGAAGTCATGAGAATGCTGCTGGCTATGGTAAAACAGATCATTGTTATGTCTTCCCATAACCATAACAGTACTTTACAACAGTGGTTGTGAGAAGAGACTACCATAACAGTAGATGTTTGCACTCTGTTTTGACCCAATGGGAATGACCCACTGACCTCATGGTCCTATACACAGGCCTATATGTACGTATCAAACATACACACAGCCAACATGGCTTTAGCTGTCAACCCTCATCAACCTTAAGTCTCTTCTCTCATAGTAAAAGTACAGTATATTTAAAGTCCTACCTCTGCACGTCAACTGATTATTGCTGTGCCATCTATCAGATGTGGATTGGCTGTGAGATATTGTACGTCGACAATGCATCTAGTAGTATTTGATACTTCAAATTGTCTCTTCATATAAATACAGTCACATCAACAATTCCAGTCCATTCCACAACAATAGAACCCCTGAGAGTACATTTACATTTACATTTTAGTCATTTAGCAGACGCTCTTATCCAGAGCGACTTACAGTTAGTGAGTGCATACATTTTTCATACACCGGCATTGACAATACATTTGACAGAAATATAAAATTGGAATTGGGCCAGAGCACCTATCTCTCTGCATTCATCCATATTAACATGCTAGACTAGTACCCTGGGAATGTGGTAAAACAGATATTAAATACAGACCATCACTTCCTCCTAAAGATAGAAAGATTGCTAAAATCAAGGCATTTCTAGTCCGACTGGTATGTGTTGTCACAAATGCTACTTATGATGTAATGACCTGTTTGTGGGTGTTAGTAAGTTAATTAAATCTTCATATCTCTCTCATGCAGGCTAAGTCCAGGGGAGTGGAGGAAGCAAGAGACAAGATGTTCTCTGGAGAGAAGATCAACTTCACTGAGGTACCAGGACTAACTGCGCTCGCTATTTTATGGCACTTTGTGTCTGAGGGGTTGCTGCAAGTTACAGAAGCACAATATCTGACAGAACACCTAGCTTTCTCACACTGGCAGATGTAGAGAATTTAGTGAAGAGCGAATGCTGATAACACTATGCCAAAGCCTGTTACATTATGTCTGTTTACTCTACTAATGATCTGAGAGTATACTATGACGAAATACATTCTCACAATAGGTCTTCCTCTCTAAACAGTTGGCAGTTGTTGCACACTTTGTGGTCACTGTTGCAAAGTCATTCAGGGAAATCCTGGAACTCCTCCCCCTCTCCACACACCATTCATGATGCAATGGTATTGTGCAATCAACTTCCGCAATGATGCTGCAGAATGTATACACATGGGTATTAACTATGTATTTACATTCAAAGAATAGTATTACAATTTTGGTATCATTATTTGAATGGTATTGAGAAGATGTTATGCAATAGCCTATTCCTTACTGGCATGGACATATCAATAAGAACACATGGTTAAAATGGGATTAATCATATAACACATTCATGTAAATGTTTAAATATTAAATATGTGTTAAAGTTTTTACCCTTCCCCCAACTGTGTGTATGTGCGTGTGTGTGTGTGTAGGGCCGTGCTGTCCTCCACATTGCCCTGCGTAACCGCTCTAACACTCCTATCAGCGTAGATGGCAAGGACGTCATGCCAGAGGTCAACAGGGTCCTGGACAAGATGAAGGCCTTCTGTCATGTAAGTGCTGGAGTCCAGTTTCAATGGACACCACAGGATATCTGCCAGGGCATATATAGAGATTAAACAATATGTTCTATCTCTATGCATTTAAATGCATGTTTTATTGGGTGGTCTTAGGCTAGATTCAATAAATGGATCAAAACTTGCATCAACATTTGTTGCGTAAATTAATTTCTCATTCATAAAATGTCTTGTAGTCATTCTTGTTAAAATGAGATATACGCCTAGCTGCCATGTGCCTCTGTTTTGTGTTGCAGAAAGTGCGCAGCGGCGAGTGGAAGGGCTTCAGTGGAAAGGCCATCACTGATGTTGTCAACATTGGAATCGGTGGGTCTGACCTGGTAAGTGTGTGACTGACTGGCCAAACAACTTTTCTTTTTTTACTGTCCTATTGCAGAGGTGTCAAACTCATTTTGTCCTGCGGGCTGTATTTGGTCTTCACCGAGGTCCGGAGAGCCGCACTTAAAATAGATTATATTTTCTCGCCGTCAAAATGTGCAAATAAATAATCTTCTAGTGTTGGCTGTATTGGGCTAAACTTTATTTTAGTTTTACTTTTTGCCCAATTTTGTGATATCCAATTGGTAGTTACAGTCCCATCGCTGCAACTCCAGTACAGACTCGGGAGCCATGCGTCCTCTGAAAACACGACCCTGCCAAGCCGCACTGCTTCTTGACATACTGCTCACTTAACCCGGAAGCCAGCCACACCAATGTTTCAGCATAAACACCTGTGTAGCTGGCGACTGAAGTCAGTGTGCATGCGCCCTGCCCCCTACAAGTAGTCGTTAGAGCGCAATGGGACATGGAAATCCCGTCACATAATAAGTTGCATGGACTCACAGTATTTTTGAATGACTACCTCATCTCTGTACCCCACACATACAATTATCTGTAAGGTCCCTCAGTCAAGCAGTGAATTTCAAACACAGATTCAACCACAAAGACCAGGGAGGTTTTCCAACACCTCGCAAAGAAGGGCACCTATTGGTAGATTGGTAAAAATAAGAAAGAGCAGACATTGAATATCCCTTTTGATTAATTACACTTTGGATGGCGTATCAATGCACCCAGTCACTACAAAGATACAGGTGTCCTTCCTAACTCAGTTGCCGGAGAGGAAGGAAACCGTTCAGGGGTTTCACCATGAGGCCAATGGTGACTTTAAAACAGTTACAGAGTTTAATGACTGTGATGGAAGAAAACTGAGGATGGATCAACAACATTGTAGTTTACTCCACAATACTAACCTAATTGACAGAGTGAAAATAAGGAAGCCTGTTCAGAATACAAATATTCCAAAACATGCATCCTGTTTGCAACAAGGAACTAAAGTAATACTGCAAAAAATGTGGCAAAGCAATTAACCTTTTGTCCTGTATACAAAGTGTTATACATTTACATTTACATTTTAGTCATTTAGCAGACGCTCTTATCCAGAGCGACTTACAGGAGCAATTAGGGTTAAGTGCCTTGCTCAAGGGCACATTTACGTCATTTAGCAGACGCTCTTATCCAGAGCGACTACAAATTGGTGCATTCACCCTATAGCCAGTGGGATAACCACTTTACAATTATATTTTTTATTTTATTTTTTATTTTTTTTATTTTTTTTGGGGGGGGGGGGGGTTAGAAGGATTACTTTATCCTATCCCAGGTGTTCCTTAAAGAGGTGGGGTTTCAAATGTCTCCGGAAGGTGGTGAGTGACTCCGCTGTCCTGGCGTCGTGAGGGAGCTTGTTCCACCATTGGGGTGCCAGAGCAGCGAACAGTTTTGACTGGGCTGAGCGGGAACTATGCTTCCGCAGAGGAAGGGGAGCCAGCAGGCCAGAGGTGGATGAACGCAATGCCCTCGTTTGGGTGTAGGGACTGATCAGAGCCTGAAGGTACGGAGGTGCCGTTCCCCTCACTGCTCCATAGGCAAGCACCATGGTCTTGTAACGGATGCGAGCTTCAACTGGAAGCCAGTGGAGTGTGCGGAGGAGGGGGGGTGACGTGAGAGAACTTGGGAAGGTTGAACACCAGACGGGCTGCGGCATTCTGGATGAGTTGTAGGGGTTTAATGGCACAGGCAGGGAGCCCAGCCAACAGCGAGTTGCAGTAATCCAGACGGGAGATGACAAGTGCCTGGATTAGGACCTGTGCCGCTTCCTGTGTAAGGCAGGGTCGTACTCTCCGAATGTTGTAGAGCATGAACCTGCAGGATCGGGTCACCGCCTTGATGTTAGCGGAGAACGACAGGGTGTTGTCCAGGGTCACGCCAAGGCTCTTCGCACTCTGGGAGGAGGACACAACGGAGTTGTCAACCGTGATGGCGAGATCATGGAACGGGCAGTCCTTCCCCGGGAGGAAGAGCAGCTCCGTCTTGCCAGGGTTCAGCTTGAGGTGGTGATCCGTCATCCATACTGATATGTCGGCCAGACATGCAGAGATGCGATTCGCCACCTGGTTATCAGAAGGGGGAAATGTTATGTTTGTTATGTCTGTTATGTTATGTCTGTTTGTTATGTCTGAAATGTTATGTCTGTTATGTTTGGAGAAAAATCCAATACAAAACATTACTGAGTACCACTCTCCATATTTGTAAGCATAGTGGTGGCTGCATCATGTTATGGGTATGCTTGTAATTGTTAAGGACTGGGGAGGTTTTCAGGATAAAAAATAAATGGAATGGAGTTAAGCACAGGCAAAATCCTAGAGGAAAACCTTGTTCAGTCTACTTTCCACCGGACACTGGGAGATGAATTCACCTTTCAGCAGGACAATAACCTAAAACACAGGTGTGGAACTGGTTGCATCACCGCCTGGTATGGCAACTGCTCGGCCTCTGACCGCAAGGCACTACAGAGGGTAGTGCATACGGCCCAGTACATCACTGGGGCCAAGCTTCCTGCCATCCAGGACCTCTATACCAGGCGGTGTCAGAGGAAGGCCCTCAAAATTGTCAAAGACTCCAGCCACCCTAGTCATAGACTGTTCTCTCTGCTACCGCACGGCAAGCGTTACCGGAGCGCCAAGTCTAGGTCCAAAAGGCTTCTCAACAGCTTCTACCCCCAAGCTATAACACTCCTGAACAGCTAATCATTGCTACCAATACTATTTGCACTGCGCCCCACCCCTACCCCCCTCTTTTACGCTGCTGCTACTCTGTCTATTATTTATGCATAGTCACTTTAACTCTACCCACATGTACATATTACCTCAATTAGCCGGTTTTTTTAGTTAACACTTTTTTTAAAAATCTTTAAAAATTGCATTGTTGGTTAAGGGCTTGTAAGTAAGCATTTCACTGTAATGTCTACAACTGTTGTATTTGGCGCATGTGGCAAATACAATTTTATTTGATTTGGAAAGCTATTAGAGACTCACCCAGAAAGACTCACAGCTGTAATCGCTGCCGAAGGTGCTTCTACAAAGTATTAACTCAGGGGTGTGAATACTTAAGTAAATGAGATATTTCTGTATTTCATTTACAATAAATTAGCAAACATTTCTAAAAACATTTTGTCATAATGGGGTATTGTGTGTAGATGTGTGAGAACATTTTGAATTCAGGCAATAACACAAAAAAATTTGGAATAAGTCAAGGGGTATGAATACTTTCTGAAGGAGCTGTTTGTGATTCAGAGTGCAATTTTTACTCACAGCAAGTTAACTGTGCTAATGTTATCTAGTAGTTGAATTTAGTAGAGTCGGGAGTTTAGTGATTTGATTCAAAGCTGCGAGTATTGAACTCAATTATCTTTCATGTTGCCATTATGTGTCTTCTAAGAAAATGCAGTTAAATTGTAATGCTCATAGGATGGAATTGAACTGTTAATACCATTGTGTCCTCTCTTAGGGTCCTCTCATGGTAACAGAGGCCCTGAAGCCCTATTCTAAGGGCGGCCCCAACGTGTGGTTCGTGTCTAACATCGACGGCACACACATAGCCAAGACCCTGGCCCAGCTCAACGCTGAGACCACCCTCTTCATTATTGCTTCCAAGGTGACAGGCTGTCGTCTACCTCCCACACACCACCTACTCCCATTGCCATGGTTACAGCAACCATCTTATAGCCACAGGGTTCTAGATGCCTACAAGAATTCAATGCTATGATTCAATGTGTCATTCAGTGCTATGATTAGCTATGGTGGTTAATCTATGTATACATGGTTGGGTTGTGGTAATGTGCGATAACATTTTAATCATCCTTTATGGTTTGAAGCTGGAAAAGATGCCAGGCGAATGTTGCTCATTCAGTGTTACACGCTGAGAAAGCTGTGTTCTACTGCCTCTGGGACTGATGTCTCACTGTGGTCCTTTTCAGACATTCACCACCCAGGAGACCATCACCAACGCAGAGTCTGCCAGGGACTGGTTCCTCCAGACAGCCAATGATGTAAGTAGACTGGTCTGCTGACAGCTAATCATAAGATGCCTTTGTGTCTGTCTGTAGCCAATGGTGATATATGCTCGGCCAGTTAGCCTGCATTCAGCCAATGATTTGATAAGTGTCTGCAGACGACAACAAATATTATTTTTGCAGCACAGGTCGGTTTAGGACAGTCCAGAGCACAGCTGGAGTGTCATATCATATTTGGATCAACTTCTCTAATGTCTCCATTCTCTTCTTCATAGCAATCTGCTGTTGCAAAGCACTTTGTGGCGCTGTCCACCAATGCAGTAAGTGTCCATTTTGAATGACTTTTCCCCCTTTACATTGTTGCCTGCCTGTTGAACTGTTTATTGCACAAGTAACTATTGACTAATGTTACTCTTTTTGCTGTCTTCCTTCTCTTCCAGCCCAAAGTGCAGGCCTTTGGTATTGACACGAACAACATGTTTGAATTCTGGGATGTAAGTATACACTACTATGCACACTGAGTTAGCCTCTGAACCCCCATGTATAATTGAATGAGTTTGAACTGGTTGGGTGGGTGGGGATTGTAGGACCCTGTAGCTATCAAACAAATATATAAAACATGTATTTGATGAAACATTGAATTTGGCCTTACTGCTATTAGCCCATAGAAACACATTGAATAACACATTCATACATGGCAAAACAGATAGTCAAAAAATAAATAAAAAGGAAGTGTGTTTTGAAGTGTCTATCCTATATCTGAGAGATATAAGAAAGCTCAGGAATGATTTATTAATACATTTTTACATTGGAATGACCAGTATACCTTTGACGTGGAAATGCCCTATTCACTTCCATAAATTTTTCGGCCAGGTACTGGGTTACCTTCAGACGGATATTGTGAGGCTTGTGGGCGTCTTAAAGCTGTTTGTCAGCTTTCGATGGTGGGGTCATTAGTGTCCGTGTAATTTTTTTTTTTTCCATACTTATTTCCCTATCACACTTTTCATCCTTCTACAAAATATACTTTCCTGCAACCCGCCTCACTCAATGTGGAACAGATTCTATTATTGACTTACCTTTTATCTAGAATCTCCAGTTGAAACTAGCTAGCCAGCTAACTAGCTACTTGCTATTAGCCACCGTTAGCGGTTTTCACCCAGAACATCGGTTTTTCTGCCGGAATAACTGAATCACAGTTATGGACATTAACACCGGATCGCAACTAGCTAGCCGCAACCGGATGGATGTTGCTGTTGGCTAATCACCGCTTCCCCCGAAGCAAGCACCAGTTAGCCTCGAGCCAGGCCCATATCCCGGCTATCTACCTCTCTGTCTACCAGACGGGAGTAGCCAGCTAACTAGCTACTTGCTATTAGCCACCGTTAGCGGTTTTTCACTATTGTCCGTGGCCTGCATTACCTACCAGCCAGCTCTAGCCTGGACTATTATCGGCCAGTCTGCACTGTCTGCACAGCACGTTATCGACCCAGAACATATCGTTTTTCACTGGACCTTTAATACCGGATCATCGCAACTAGCTAGCTGCAACCAAATGGATGTAGTTGTTGGCTAATCAGCCCTGAGCTAGCCTCGAGCCAGGCCGATCTCCCGGCTATCTACCTCTCCGTCAACCGGACGGGACCTCCTAGTGTTGACACGGAGCCCCGCCGATCCAACACGACTGGTCTGCTGACGAAATCGTCTGATGTGGTTTCAACAGGCTTCCCATTACGACGTCGACCACGAAGATCCATCTGCTAGCCCCGGCCCGCTAGCACACGCAAGCCGTGGCCTCTTGCTCGCCAGTACTGTAGGAGTCCCCAAACTACCTCCCAACTCTCCTATTGCTGTTCACCGGACCTTATGATAACTCAGCTATACAGCTGATGCCTGCTGGACTGTTCCTTTATACGGTACCGCATCCTGTTTATGTTTAGCCTCAGCCCAAACTTTGTCGCCATTACCAGCTGTTGTCTTAGCTCTCTCGAATAACACCTGTGATTGCTTTATGCCTCTCTTCCATGTCAATATGCCTTGCTTATTGCTGTTTTGGTTATTTCTTATTGTACTATTTCACTGTAGATCCCCCAGCCCAGCTCAACCTGCCTTAGATAGCTCCTTTGTCCCACCCCCCATACACGCGGAGACCGACTCAATCGGTGCCTCCAGTGATGCTATCTCTTTCATCGTTACCCAACGCTTAGGTTTACCTCCACGGTACTCATATCCTTCCATATCCTTGTCTGTACATAATGCCCTGAATCTATTCTACAACGCCCGGAAATCTGCCCCTTTTTTTCTCTGTACCCAACGCACTAGAAGACCAGTACTTAAAGCCTTTAGCCGTATCCTTATTCTACTCCTCCTCTGTTCCTCTGGTGATGTAGAGGTTAACCCAGGCCCTGTAGCCCCCAGTATCACTCCTACTCCCCAGGCGTTAGGAAGGCCACCAAAAATTCAGACATTTCCATCCCCAACTACAACATTTTCCATCTCGATAGAACTGCCAAAGGGGGTGGGGTTGCAATATACTGTAGAGAGAGCCTGCAGAGCTCTATCATACTATCCAGGTCTGTGCCCAAACAGTTCGAGCTTCTACTTCTAAAAATCCACCTTTCCAGAAATAAGTCTCTCACTGTTGCCGCTTGCTACAGACCCCCCTCAGCCCCGAGCTGTGCCCTGGACACCATATGTGAACTGATTGCCCCCCATCTATCCTCAGAGTTCGGACTGCTTGGTGACCTAAACTGGGATATGCTTAACACCCCAGCCAACCTACAATCTAAACTAGATGCCCTCAATCTCACACAAATTATCAACGAACCTACCAGGTACAACCCTAAATCTGTAAACATGGGCACCCTCATAGATATCATCCTGACAAATGTACCCTCTAAATACACCTCCGCTGTCTTCAACCAGGATCTCAGCGATCACTGCCTTATTGCCTGCGTCCGTAATGGGTCCTTGGTCAAACGACCACCCCTCATCCCTGTCAAACACTCCCTAAAACACTTTAGCGAGCAGGCCTTTCTAATTGACCTGGCCCGGGTATCCTGGATGGATATTGACCTCATTCGTCAGTAGAGGATGCCTGGTTGTTCTTTTTAAAAGTGCTTTCCTCTCAATCTTAAATAAGCATACCCCAATCAAAAAATTCAGAACTAAGAACAGATATAGCCCCTGGTTCTCCTCAGACTTGACTGCCCTTGACCAGCACAAAAACATCCTGTGGCGTACTGCATTAGCATCGAACAGCCCCCACGATATGCAACTTTTCAGGGAAGTCAGGAACCAATATACACAATCAGTTAGGAAAGCAAAGGCTAGCTTTTTCAAACAGAAATTTGCATAATGTAGCACTAACTCCAAAACGTTTTGGGACACTGTAAAGTCCATGGAAAATAAGAGCACCTCCTCCCCACTGCACTGAGGCTAGGAAACACTGTCACCACTGATAAATCTACAATAATTGAGTATTTCAACAAGCATTTTGCTACGGCTGGCAATGCTTTCCACCTGGCTACCACTACCCCGGCCATCAGCTCTGCACCCTCCGCTGCAACTTGCCCATGCCCCTCCCGCTTCTCCTTCACACAAATTCAGACAGCTGATATTCTGAAAGAGCTGAAAAATCTGGACCCCTACAAATCTGCTGGGCTAGACAATCTGGACCCTTTCTTTCTAAAATTAGCTGCCAAAACTGTCGCAACCCCTATTACTAGCCTGTTCAACCTCTTTCGTAACGTCTGAGATCCCCAGAGATTGGAAAGCTGCCGCGGTCATCCCCCTCTTCAAAGGAGGTGACACTCTAGATCCAAACTGTTACAGACCTATATCCATCCTGCCCTGCCTTTCGAAAGTATTTGAAAGCCAAGTTAACAAACAGATCACCAACCATTTCGAATCCCACCGTACCTTCTCCGCTATGCAATCCGGTTTCCGAGCTGGTCATGGGTGCACCTCGGCCACGCTCAAGGTCCTAAACGATATTATAACCTCGATCGATAAAAGACAGTACTGCGCAGCCGTCTTCATTGATCTGGCCAAGGCTTTCGACTCTGTCAACCACCATATTCTTATTGGCAGACTAAATAGCCTTGGTTTCTCAAATGACTGCCTCGCCTGGTTCACCAACTACTTCTCAGATAGAGTTCAATGTGTCAAATCGGAGGGCCTGTTGTCTGGACCTCTGGCCGTCTCTATGGGGGTGCCACAGGTTTCAATTCTCGGGCCGACTCTATTCTCTGTGTATATCAATGATGTCGCTCCTGCTGCTGGTGACGCTCGGATCCACCTCTATGCGGACGACACCATTTTGTATACATCTGGCCCTTCATTGGACACTGTTAAACCTCCAAACGAGCTTCAACGCCATACAACATTCCTTCCGTAGCCTCCAACTGCTCTTAAACACTAGTAAAACTAAATGCATGCTCTTCAACCGAACGCTGCTTGCACCCGCCCACCCGACTAGAATCACTACTCTCGGCGGGTCTGACCTAGAGTATGTGGACAACTACAAATACATAGGTGTCTGGTTAGACTGTAAACTCCTTCCAGACTCACATTAAGCATCTCCAATCAAAAGTTAGATCTAGAATCGGCTTCCTATTTCGCAACAAAGCCTCCTTCACTCATGCTGCCAAACATGCCCTCGTAAAACTGACTATCCTACCGATCCTTGACTTCGGCGATGTCATTTACAAAATAGCCTCCAATACTCTACTCAGCAAATTGGATGTAGTCTATCACAGTGCCATTCGTTTTGTCACCAAAGCCCCATATACTGCCCACCATTGTGACCTGTACGCTCTTGTTGGCTGGCCCTCACTACATATTCGTCGCCAAACCCACTGGCTCCAGGTCATCTATAAATCACTGCTAGGCAAATCCCCGTCTTATCTTAGCTCACTGGTCACCATAGCAACACCCACCCGTAGTCTGCGCTCCAGCAGGTATATCTCGCTGGTCATCCCAAAAGCCAACACCTCCTTTGGCCACCATTCCTTCCAGTTCTCTGCTGCCAATGACTGGAACGAACTGCAAAAATCTCTGAAGCTGGAGACTCTTATCTCCCTCACTAACTTTAAGCGTCAGTTGTCAGAGCAGCTTACCGATCACTGCACCTGTACACAGCCATTCTGAAATTAGCCCACCCAACTACCTCATCCCCATATTGTTATTTATTTTGCTAATTTGCACCCCAGTATCTCTATTTGCACATCATCTTTTGCACATCTATCATTCCAGTGTTAATTACGAAATTGTAAGTATTTTTGCACTATGGCCTATTTATTTATTGCCTTACCTCCATAACTTACTACATTCGCACACACTGTATATATATTTTCTGTTGTATTTTTGACTTTGTTTTACCCCATATGTAACTCTGTGTTGTTTTTATCGCACTGCTTTGCTTTATCTTTATCTTACCTGGTTAAATAAAATAAAATAACGTTTGTTGCCCAAACCGTTCAGACGCTACAGACAATTTGGCACATTGGCGGTACCGACTTCAGATGAGTCCTGTTAAGCTTCTGGGGGTTGTAGAGCAAATCGTAGTACACCATTGTGTTCGTGAGAGTCTCAGCTTTCCATAGTGGGTTCATATTAGTTTCTAGCCCAAACCGTTCAGACTCAGCAGACGTTTTCATGAGAAGATTGATTTTCGGGATGTCTCCTGTCTGACACTCACCGCTGTAGCTCTGCCACCTTTCACCGCAGGTGAGGAAGGCCGACATCGGTGGATGCGGTGGATTGAGATGCAGCCCATGCAAAAAAACTGATACACTACTGCTCGTCGAACATCTCATTTCAAAATCATGGGCATTAATATGGAGTTGGTCCCCCCCTTTGCTGCTATAAAAGCCTCCATTTTTCTGGGAAGGCTTTCCACTAGATGTTAGAACATTGCTGCGGGGACTTCCATTCAGCCACAAGAGCATTAGTGAGGTTTGGCATTGATGTTGGGCGATTAGGCCTGGCTCGCAGTCGGCGTTCCAATTCAACCCAAAGGTGTTCGATGGAGTTAGGGTCAGGGCTCTGTGCAGGCCAGTCAAGTTCTTCCAGACCGATCTCGACAAACCATTTCTGTATGGACCTCGCTTTGTGCACGGGGGCATTGTCATGCTGATACAGAAAAGGGCCTCCCCAAACTGTTGCCACAAAGTTGGAAGCACAGGATCGTCTAGAATGTAATTGTGTGCTGTAGCGTTAAGATTTCCCTTCACTGGAACTAAGGGTCCTAGCCCGAACCATGAAAAACAACCCCAGACCATTATTCCTTCTCCACCAGACTTTACAGTTGGCACTATGCATTCAGGCAGGTAGCATTCTCCTGGCATCCGCCAAACCCAGATTTGTCCGTCGGACTGCCAGATGGTGAAGCTTGATTCATCACTCCAGAGAACGCGTTTCCACTGCTCCAGAGTCCAATGGCGGCGAGGTTTACACAACTCCAGCCGACGCTTGGCATTGCGCCTGGTGATCTTAGGCTTGTATGCGGCTGCTCGGCCATGGAAACCCATTTCATGAAGCTCCCAACGAACAGTTATTGTGCTGACGTTGCTTCCAGAGGCAGTTTGGAACTCGGTAGTGAGTGTTGCAACTGAGGACAGACGATTTTTACGCGCTTCAGCACTTGGCGGTCCCATTCTGTGAGCTTGTGTGGCCTACCACTTCGCGTCTGAGCCGTTGTTGCTCCTGGACGTTTCCGCTTCAGAACAACAGCACTTACAGTTGACCGGGGAAGCTCTAGCAGGACATACATTTGACCAACTGACTTGTTGGAAAGGTGGCATCCTATGATGGTGCCACGTTGGAAGTCACTGAGCTCTTCAGTAATGCCATTCTACTGCCAATGTTTGTCTATGGAGATTGCATGGCTGTGTGCTCGATTTTATACACCTGTCAGCAACGGGTGTGGCTGAAATAGCCGAATCCACTAATTTGAAGGGGTGTCCACATACTTTTGTATATATAGTGTATCTCTAACTTAAAGAGACAGATTCTGATGGGGATTTTTGTATTATGCTAATTCAATTTCCAAGTGGGCGTGGACATCAACTCTAGGGGGATAAAAAGGATTAGCATTTTGCAATCAATCAACCATGGCTTATACTTGTATACTTGCTGGGAGATATTTTGACCGCATTCTTGGTGTGGTATTTATTTCTAAAGACTTTAGAATGCAATTGTAAAGGGAATGAATTTGTGGATCTTGTATTAACACGTTAAATTCAAAATCTAAACCATTGGAAATTAGCAAAGCTGAAGAATAAGGGATTTTTTTTAAAAGTAAATGGTGCACAAATTTTGTCTAATGTTGCAGTCTCGTTTGACACTAGTACACTGCCCAAGTGATGGCCATTGTCTGTTTTGTGTGGCCTTTAAATATTTTGAGAGAGGGAAACCTGTAGTGGTTGATTGATTGTGTGACTGTGATGTCATGTTTGCTTTCTATCAGTGGGTCGGTGGGCGTTACTCCCTGTGGTCGGCTATTGGGCTGTCCATTGCACTGCACATAGGTATGTCTGTCTAATCTTAGCGCCCTATGGATGTAGTGTATACAGAAGCAGCATATTTACTGTATATTGCAGATTTGCTCTGAGCATTTTGTCAACTGCAAAAAGTTGGTTTGTGCATTAAAATGGAATGAATCGAAAGCATCATAACTACTACTGGTAATTTGAGTTGAAGGGTTGATCCTCTGAACACCTTTTTTTCTACTTCTCCTGTCCTGCAGGGTTTGAGAACTTTGAGCAGCTTCTGGCCGGTGCTCACTGGATGGTAGGCACATTTCTCCTTCATTTAGTGTCAATTCAATACAACTGTATTTATCCCCTCAGGGGCAATTGAAAATAATCCTAAATTAGATAGATATAGAATTAGTAATATGATGTTGTTAAAATGACTGTTGTCTTTCCCAGGATAACCATTTCAGCAGCACCCCTCTGGAGCAGAATGTCCCTGTCCTGCTGGCCGTGCTGGGTATCTGGTACATCAACTTCTTCCAGGCAGAGACCCACGCCATGCTGCCCTACGACCAGTACATGCACCGCTTCGCTGCATACTTCCAGCAGGTCAGTCAGACAGGCAGGCCATACCTGGGTTCAAGTACTCTCTGAAATCTTACAAATACTGAGTGTTGGTTTAAGCATGCATGTGGTGCCAGGTGGGTAGGGTTTGCACTTTATGAACTTTTTGTTGGTTTTATTGCAACAGGCAAGCTCAATCAAGTACAGCTAAAGTATTTGAAAATATTTCAAATAGTATTTGAACCCAGGTCTGAGGCAGGCAGGAGCCAGGCAGGACCATCTGCTAGGGATGTAGGGACCAGGACAGGGCATCTGTTTGGGCTAGACTAGAGAATCCAGGGACAAGATCATGTTCAGTAGACAGGAAAGGGTAGAAAGGTTTTGTTTGTACTGCAGGTGCAATAGAAGATTAAATGTTTTTTGAATCACGTTTCATTACCTTTCTTTCCAATGTTTCCCCTTTTTATTGATGTACTGTAAGCCATAATTTCAGTAACCATCATTGTAACTCAAATGTGTCGTCCATAGGGCGATATGGAGTCCAATGGGAAGTACATCACTAAAGATGGCACCCGTGTCAACTACCAAACCGGACCCATCGTCTGGGGCGAGCCTGGGACAAACGGACAGCACGCCTTCTACCAGCTCATCCACCAAGGTAACATACACCTGTCACACACCTGTCCTCTAGACCCTCATTCAGAATGTGGACAGTTTTGTTTGATATACTGTACTATAAAGCAAGATGTGAACGGAACAACATTAAGTTACCCACCTTGATGTGACATTCAGTATTGTGACCATTCTAGGCACACGTATGATTCCTGCAGACTTCCTCATTCCTGCCCAGACACAGCACCCAATCAGGGACAGCCTCCACCACAAGGTAGCGCAACGTCATGGCTTATCATGGCTTTGCAATTAGGAAAATTCAAAATTCTGTTTACTAACTGAATCTAAATGGAATTGTCCCCAACCCTGCTACAATAGTGTATTTGACTATATCTCTTGATCTCCCTATTAGATCCTGATGGCCAACTTTCTGGCCCAAACGGAGGCTCTGATGAAGGGGAAGACACCAGACGAGGCCAGGAAGGAGCTGGAGGCCACCGGCCTAGGAGGACCAGAGCTGGAGAAACTGCTGCCACACAAAGTGAGTAGATTTACTCATCAGACCATGGATTAGGGCTGGGACGATACCAGTATCGCGATACTCAGTAGTATCGTGGCAAAGAAACAAAACACAAAGTGGATTTCACTTCTTTAGGAAAACAGCCCTAATGTTGGAAATCCAGCCAGTCTATAATCTCTTGACTGATGGAAAGTATTGATGCAAAGATAATGCATAATTGGTTGTCTGCGTTATTGCTGGATGATGCTTTTAAATGCTTTGATGTATGTTTGGTCGATTTATTTCTGGCTAGTGCATAGAAATGGTATAACAACGTTTTGGGCTGATATACTTTGTTGTCGTTTTCGTCAATGAAAGGTCTTCCAGGGAAATAAGCCCAGCAACTCCATTGTTTTCAAGAAGCTGTCACCCTTCATGCTGGGAGCACTGGTTGGTAAGTAGTAGCTGTTGGCATGGTAACACCCAATTCCTGTCCAGATAATTCTATGTACACTGAACAAAGAAATAAACGCAATATGAAAAGTGTTGGTCCCACGTTTTGTACAGATGTCTCAAGTTAAACCGCCTGCAATGTCGTTTTAGAGAATTTGGCAGTACGTCCAACTGGCCTCACAACCGCAGACCACGTGTATGGCGTCGTGTGGGCGAACGGTTTGCTGATGTCAACTTTGTGAACAGAGTGCCCCATGGTGGCGGTGGGGTTATGGTATGGGCAGGCATAAGCTACGGACAGCGAACACAATTGCATTTGACCGATGGCAATTTGAATGCACAGAGATACCGTGACGAGATCCTGAGGTCCATTGTCGTGCAACTCATCTGCCGCCATCACCTCATGTTTCAGCATGATAATACTCTGGATTGACATGTATGACAGCGTGTTCCAGTTCCCGCCAATATCCAGCAACTTCGCACAGCCATTGAAGAGGAGTGGGACAACATTCCACGGCCACAATCAACAGCGTGATCAACTCTATGCGAAGGAGATGTATCATGCTGCATGAGGCAAATGGTGATCCCACCAGATACTGACTGGTTTTCTGATCCACGCCCCTACCTTTTCTTAAGGTATCTGTGACCAACCGATGCATATCTTTATTCCCAGTCATGTGAAATCAATAGATTAGGGCCTAATTTATTTATTTAAATTGACTGATTTCCGTATATGAACTGTAACTCAGTAAAATCGTTTAAATTGTTGCATGTTACATTACATTAGTAATGGCGCCGGAGGGGATGGCTGCCGTTTTACGGGCTCCTAACCAACTGTACTAGTTTGTTAGTTGTTTTTTACTTATTGTGTATATAATGTTGCAGCTACCGTCTCTTATGACCGAAAATAACTTCTGGACATCAGAACAGCGATTACTCACCTCGAACTGGATGAAGATTTTTTCTTTAACGAGTCCGACGCGAAGGATATACCTCTTTCTCGGGAACAGGCCCAAATCCCCATCATACGCGTGAAGAAAAGACAGAGAAAAAGGGGGGCGGAGGTCTGGGTGCCTTCTGAGAATTCGTAGGCGAGTGAGTAAACCGCCACTACCATCCGTTCTATTGGCCAACGTGCAATCACTGGAAAACAAAATGGATGATCTACGATCAAGAATATCCTACCAATGGGACATTTAAAAACTGGAATATCTTATGTTTCACCGAGTCGTGGCTGAACGACGACACGGATAATATAGAGCTGGCGGGATTTTCCATGCATCGGCTGGACAGAGAAGCTACGTCCGGTAAGACGAGGGGCGGGGGTGTGTCTATTTGTCAATAACAGCTGGGGCACAATGTCTAATATTAAAGAAGTCTCGAGGTATTGCTCACCTGAGGTAGAGTACCTTATGATAAGCTGTAGACCACACTATCTACCAAGAGAGTTCTCATCTATATTATTCGTAGCCGTCTATTTAACACCACAAACCGATGCTGGCACTAAGACCGCACTCAACGAGCTGTATAAGGCCATAAGCAAACAAGAAAATGCTAATCCAGAAGTGGCGCTCCTAGTGGCTGGGGACTTTAACGCAGGCAAACTTAAATCCGTTTGACCTCATTTCTACCAACATGTCACGTGTGCAACCAGAGGAAAAAAAACTCTAGACCACCTTTACTCCACACACAGAGACGCATACAAAGCTCTCCCTCGCCCTCCATTTGGCAAATCTGACCGTAATTCTATCCTCTTAATACTTGCTTACAAGCAAAAACTATAGCAGGAAGTACCAGTGACTCGCTCAATACGGAAGTGGTCAGATGACACGGATGCTACGTTACAGGACTGTTTTGCTAGCACAGACTGGAATATGTTCCGGGATTCATCCAATGGCAGGAGTACACCACCTCAATCATCGGCTTCATCAATAAGTGCATCGACGACGTCGTCCCCACAGTGACCGTACGTACATATCCCAACCAGAAGCCATGGTTTACAGGCAACATCCGCATCGAGCTAAAGGAGGAGCGCTTTCAAGGAGCGGGTCACTAATCCGGATGCTTATAAGAAATCCTGTTACGCCCTCAGACGAACCATCAAACAGGCAAAGTGTCAATACAGGATTAAGATTGAATCCTACCTCACCGGCTCTGACGCTCATCGGATGTGGCAGGGCTTGAAAACTATTACGGACTACAAAGGGAAACCCAGCTGCGAGCTGCCCAGTGACGCGAGCCTACCAGACGAGCTAAATGCCTTTTATGCTCGCTTCGAGGTAAGCAACACTGAAGCATGCATGAGAGCACCAGCTGTTCCGGACGACTGTGTGATAACGCTCTCGGTTGCCGACGTGAGCAAGACCTTTAAACAGGTCAACATTCACAAAGCCGCGGGGCCAGATGGATTACCAGGACGTGTACTCAAAGCACGCGCGGACCAACTGGCAAGTGTCTTCACTGACATTTTCAACCTTTCCCTGACCGAGTCTGTAATACCTACATGTTTCAAGCAGACCACCATAGTCCCTGTGCCCAAGGAAGTGAAGGTAACCTGCCCAAATGATTACCGCCCTGTAGCATTCACGTCGGTAGCCATGAAGTGCTTCGAAAGGCTGGTCATGGCTCACATCAACCGCATCATCCCGGATACCCTAGACCCACTCCAATTCGCATACCGCCCCAACAGATCCACAGATGACACAATCTCAATCGCACTCCACACTGCCCTTTCCCACCTGGACAAAAGGAACACCTATGTGAGAATGCTGTTCATTGACTACAGCTCAGCGTTCAACACCATAGTGCCCACAAAGCTCATCACTAAGCTAAGGACCCTGGGACTAAACACCTCCCTCTGCAACTGAATCCTGGACTTCCTGACAGGCCGCCCCCAGGTGGTAAGGGTAGGCAACAACACGTCTGTCACGCTGATCCTCAACACTGGGGCCCCTCAGGGGTGCGTGGTTAGTCCCCTCCTGTACTCCCTGTTCAACTACGACAGCGCGGCCAAACACGACTCCAACACTATCATTAAGTTTGCTGACGACACAACAGTGGAAGGCCTGATCATCGACAACGATGAGACAGCCTATAGGGAGGAGGTCAGAGACCTGGCAGTGTGGTGCCAGGACAACAACCTCTCCCTCAATGTGAGCAAGACAAAGGAGCTGATCGTGGACTACAGGAAAAGGCGGGCCGAACAGGCCCCCATTAACATCGACAGGGCTGTAGTGGAGCGGGTCGAGAGTTTCAAGTTCCTTGGTGTCCACATCACCAACAAACTATCATGGTCCAAACACACCAAGACAGTCGTGAAGAGGGCACGACAACACCTTTTCCCCCTCAGGAGACTGAAAAGATTTGGCATGGGTCCCCAGATCCTCAAAGTTCTACAGCTGCACCATCGAGAGCATCCTGACCGGTTGCATCACCGCCTGGTATGGCAACTGCTCTGTATCCGACCGTAACGCGCTACAGAGGGTAGTGCATACGGCCCAGTACATCACTGGGGCCAAGCTTCCTGCCATCCAGGACCTATATACTAGGCATTGCCAGAGGAAAGCCAAAAAAATAGTAATAGACTCCAGTCACCCAAGTCATAGACTGTTCTCTCTGCTACCGCACGGCAAGCGGTACCGGAGCGCCAAGTCTAGGTCCAAAAGGCTCCTTAACAGCTTCTACCCCCAAGCCATAAGACTGCTGAACAATTAATCAAATGGCCACCCAGACTATTTACATTGACCACCCCTCTCCATTTGTTTTTACACTGCTGCTACCCGCTGTCTATTATCTATGTATAGTTACTTTACCCTTACCTACATGTACAGATTACCTCGACTAACCTGTACCCCCGCACATTGACTTGGTACCGGTACCCCCTGTATATAGCCTCGTTATTGTTATTTTATTGTTACTTTTTATTATTTTTTACTTTATTTTATTTGGTAAATATTTTCTTAACTCTTTCTTGAACTGCATTGTTGGTTAAGGGCTTGTAAGTAAGCATTTCACCTGTTGTATTCGGCGCATGTGACAAATAAAGTTTGATTTGATGTTTGTTCAGTATGCATATACTGGTAAAGGTTTTTCTTTTTGTCTTTTTAGCCATGTATGAGCACAAGATCTTTGTGCAGGGAGTCATGTGGAACATCAACAGCTACGATCAGTGGGGGTACGTGTCAGTGAGAAGCATATATGGAATTCTAAATATATGTCTATTGTATATTTTAAGTTATATGTAACATTCTTCTCTCTATGTTCAGAGTGGAGCTGGGCAAACAGCTGGCCAAGGCCATCGAGCCAGAGCTCAGCGACAGATCAGAGGTCCACTCCCACGATTCCTCTACCAACGGGCTCATTAACTTCCTCAAGAAGAACTCCGCTTAATTGCTTTACTTCAGCACTTTACCTCCTCACTGACCACAATTGGAACTATTAGCTGAACTATTCCACAATGTAGTCTTGGCCACCACTGATAGCCCCTTGACCCGCAGAAAAGAGCACTTTACGTTTGATAATCACCAGTCTGTTTATTTGAGTGTGTCAGTGAATCGAGAGACTTGGACTGTATTATCTAGATGTGTACAAAAGTTAACCTGATAAGGGAATCAATTGCTTTTGGGAGGAGGGTAACTCCCCTAATATTACAATGTGCAGATATTACTGTAGGTGACAAGGCCCCCTCTCTAACCTAGTCAACACTGACTTACCAAATAAAATGTGGTGTCACTTTACATGACTGTTTTCTATTTTGTGTCATGAGGGTTGGAATACTACACGGCATCCTATTTTAAAAGTGCAGTATGCAGAATTCAAGGGCAAACTAGTAGTGTGAAAAATATTAGTAGTTCATTTGATATTGCAAATATATTGGTTTAATATGAGGTTGACTAGATGTTTTGAGCAAGATAATGTAGATACATTTAGGGAGTTTCTAAACTAACTGAAATAGCTTGAAATGGCTTGCAGCCCCCACCCAGCAAGAGTAACAGTACTGTTGGATCAATTTTGTAAAAATAAACCACAAAACGTTTTGTAGGTGAGTGCATTCGGAAAGTATTCAGACCCCTTGACTTTTTCCATATTTTTACGTTACAGGCTTATTCTAAAATGGATTACATTAACTTTTTTCCTCATCAATCAACACACAATACCCCATAATGACAAAGTGAAAACATGTTTTTAGAATTTTTGCAAATGTGTTATAAATACAAAACAGAAATACCTTATTTACATAAGTATTCAGACCATTTGCTATGAGACTCAAAATTGAGCTCAGGTGCATCCTGTTTCCATTGATCATCCTTGATGTTTCTACAATATGATTGGAGTCCACCTGTGGTAAATTCTATAGATTGTACATGATTTGGAAAGGCACACACCTGACAGTGCATGTCAGAGCACAAACCAAGCCATGAGGTTGAAGGAATTGCCCGAAGAGCTCCAAGACAGGATTGTGTCGAGGCACAGATCTGGGGAATTTCTACAGCATTGAAGGTCCCCAAGAACACAGTGGCCTTCATCATTCTTAAATGGAAGGAGTTTGGAACCACCAAGAAGACTCTTCCTAGAGCTGGCCGCCCGGCCAAACTGGGCAATCGGGAGAGAAGGGCCTTGGTCAGGGAGGTGACCAAGAAACCCGATGGTCACTCTGACAGAGCTCCAGAGTTCCTCTGTGTAGATGGGAGAATCAATCAATCAATCAAATGTATTTATAAAGCCCTTTTTCATCAGCAGATGTCACAAAGTGCTATAGAGAAACCCAGCCTAAAACCCCAAACAGCAAGCAATGCAGATGTAGAAGCACGGTGGCTAGGAAAAACTCCCTAGAAAGGCAGGAACCAAGGAAGAAACCTAGAGAGGAACCAGGCTCTGAGGTATGGCCAGTACTCTTCTGGCTGTGCCGGGTGGAGATTATAAGAGTACATGGCCATTTTAAGGCCAGATTGTTCTTCAAGATGTTCAAATGTTCATAGATGACTAGCAGGGTCAAATAATAATCACAGTGGTTGTAGAAGGTGCAACAGGTCTTGTACCTCAGGAGTAAATGTCAGTTGTCTTTTCATAGCGGAGCATTCAGAGGTCAAGACAGCAGGTGCGGTAGAGAGAGAGTCGAAAACAGCAGGTCCGGGACAAGGTAACACGTCCGGTGAACAGGTCAGGGTTCCCTAGGCGCAGGCAGAACAGTTGAAACTGGAGCAGCAGCACGACCAGGTGGACTGGGGACAGCCAGGAGTCATCAGGCCAGATAGTCCTGATCCTAGGGCTCAGATCCTCCGGGAGGGGAGGGAGAGAGAGAGAATTAGAGGGAGCATACTTAAATTCACACAGGACACCAGATAAGACAGGAGAATTACACCAGATATAACAGACTGACCCTAGCCCCCCGGCACATAGACTATTGCAGCATAGATACTGAGACTGAGTGGGTCGGGGGACACTGTGGCCCCGTCCGACGATAGCCCCGGACAGGGCCAACCAGGCAGGATATAACCCCACCCACTTTGCCAAAGCACAGCCACCACATCACTAGAGGGATATCAACAGACCACCAACTTACTACCCTGAGACAAGGCTGAGTATAGCCCACGAAGATCTCCTCCACCGCACGAGCCCGACGGGGACAGGAAGATCACGTCTGTGACTCAACCCACTCAAGTGACGCACCCTTCCTAGGGACGGCATGGAAGAGCACTAGTAAGCCAGTGACTCAGCCCCCGTAATAGGGTCAGAGGCAGAGAATCCCAGTGGAGAGAGGGGTGCTGGCTAGGTAGAGACAGCAAGGGCAGTTTGTTGCTCCAGTGCCTTGCCGTTCACCTTCGCACCCCTGGACCAGACTACACTCAATCATAGGACCTACTGAAGAGATGAGTCTTCAGTAAAGACTTAAAGGTTGAGACCGGGTCTGTGTCTCTCACATGGATAGGCAGACCATTCCATAAAAATTGAGCTCTATAGGAGAAATCCCTGCCTCCAGCTGTTTGCTTAGAAATTCTAGGGACAATAAGGAGGCCTGCGTCTTGTGACCGCAGCGTACGTGTAGGTATGTACGGCAGGACCAAATCGGAGAGATAGGTAGGAGCAAGCCCATTCAATGCTTTGTAGGTTAACAGTAAAACCTTGAAATCAGCCCTAGCCTTAACAGGAAGCCAATGTGGAGAGGCTAGCACTGGAGTAATATGATCAAATCTTTTGGTTCTAGTCAGGATTCTAGCAGCCGTGTTAAGTTAAGTTAACTGAAGTTTATTTAGTGCTTTATCCAGGTAGCCGGAGAGTAGAGCATTGCAGTAGTCTACTCTAGAAGTGACAAAGGGATTGATTAGCTTTTCTGCATCATTTTTGGACAAAACGTTTCAGATTTTGCAATGTTACGAAGATGGAAAAAAGCTGCCCTATAAATATTCTTGATATGTTCATCAAAAGAGAGATCAGGGTCCAGAGTAATGCAGAGGTCCTTCACAGTTTTATTTGAGACGACTGTACAACCATCAAGATTAATTGTCAGATCCAACAGCAGATCTCTTTGTTTCTTGGGACCTAGAACTAGCATCTCTGTTTTGTCCGAGTTTAAAAGTCAAACATTTGCCGCCATCCACTTCCTTGTGTCTGAAACACAGGCTTCCAGGGTAGGCAGTTTTGGGGCTTCGCCATGTTTCATCGAAATGTACAGCTGTGTGTCGTCCGCATAGCAGTGAAAGTTGATGTTGTGTTTCCGAATGACATCACCAAGAGGTAGAATATATAGTGAAAACAATAGTGGTCCTAAAACGGAACCTTGAGGAACGCCGAAACCTACAATTGATTTGTCAGAGGACAAACCATCCACAGAGACGAACTGATATCTTTCCGACAGATAAGATCTAAACCAGGCAAGAACCTGTCCGTGTACACCAATTAGGGTTTCTAATCTCTCAAAATAATGTGATCAATGGTGTCAAAAGCAGCACTAAGGTCTAGGAGCACGAGGACAGATGCAGAGCCTTGGTCTGACGCCATTAAAAGGTCATTTACCACCGTCACGAGTGCAGTCTCAGTGCTATGATGGGGTCTAAAATCAGACTGAAGCATTTTGTAAACATTATTAGTCTTCAGGAAGGCAGTGAGCTGCTGCGCAACAGCTTTTTCAATATAGGCTGATTAGTTTTTTTACATTTAAGGTCAAGGTTTGGCTTTTTCAAGAGAGGCTTTATTACTGCCACTTTTCATGAGTTTGGTACACATCCGGTGGATAGGGAGACATTTATTATGTTCAACATAGGAGGGCCAAGCACAGGAAGTAGCTCTTTCAGTAGTTTAGTTGGAATAGGGTCCAGTATGCAGTTTGACGGTTTAGAGGCCATGACTATTTTCATGAATGTGTCAAGAGATACAGGATTAAAAAACTTGAGTGTCTCCATTGATCGTAGGTCCTGGCAGTTCTGTGCAGACTCAGGACAACTGAGCTTTGGAGAAATATGCAGATTCAAAGTGGAGTCTGTAATTTGCTTTCTAATGATCGTGATTTTTTCATCTAAGAAGTTCATGAATTTATCACTGCTGAAGTGAAAGCTATCCTCTCTTGTTGAATGCTGCTTTTTAGTTAGCTTTGCGACAGTATCAAAAATAAATGTTGGATTGTTCTTATTCTCCTCAATTAGGTTGGAAGAATAGGATGATCGTGCAACAGTGAGGGCTCTTCGATATTGTACGGTACTGTTTTTCCAAGCTAGTCGGAAGACTTCCAGTTTGGTGGAGGGCCATTTCCGTTCCAGTTTTCTGGAAGCTTGCTTCAGGGCTCAGGTATTTTCTGTATACAAGGGAGCAAATTTCTTGCGACAAATGTTTTGGGTTTTTAGGGGTGCGACTGCATCTAGGGTATTACGCAAGATTAAATTAAGATCCTCAGTTAGGTGGTTAACTCATTTTTGTACTCCGACTTCCTTGGGTAGGTGGAGGGAGTCTGGAAGGGCTTCTAGGAATCTTTGGGTTGTCTGAGAATTTATAGCACGGCTTTTGATGATCCTTGGTTGGGGTCTGAGCAGATTATTTGTTGCGATTGCAAACGTAATTAAATGGTGGTCCGATAGTCCAGGATTATGAGGAAAAACATTTAGATCCACAATTTTTATTCCACGGGACAAAACTAGATCCAGGGTATGACTGTGGCAATGAGTAGGTCCGGAGACATGTTGGACAAAACCCACTGAGTCGATGATGGCTCCGAAAGCCTTTTGGAGTGGGTCTGTAGACTTATCCATGTGAATATTAAAGTCACCAAAAATTAGGATATTATCTGCCATGACTACAAGGTCCGATAGGGATTCAGGGAACTCAGTGAGGAACACTGTATACGGCCCAGGAGGCCTGTAAACAGTAGCTATAAAAAGTGATTGAGTAGGCTGCATAGA